AAGTAAGATACAAGACTAATGTTTTTTTTGTGATCAGGACAAGCGATAGATGAAAACTTTGGATGAATGAACCCTTGGTTTGAATTGGCTGAATGAGATGTGGAGATGACATGCTTGTTGACAATGCTTTGTCTTTTTGCTCAAGCTTTGTTTGTCTTCTGCATTATAGGGTAATCTGTTAGTGCTCGCCTTATGCTTGAGCAATAGGCAGGTAGATGCCTGCTTTTTGTGCTCGCCTTAGGATTTTCACATCGTTCCGTACGGTACTGCTAAGTAGCTTATAGCGCAATACGGAGCCAATTTTTTTAGGATTTTCACATCGTTACCGGACGCTACTGCTAAGTAGTTTAAAGCGTAAAGCGCAATACGAAGTTGAACTCCGTTAACTCGAAAGGTGATACCTGCCTTGATTTTGTGACGCATGTCATTGCTATATGCAAGTGTTCTTGGACGTTTTAAGCTTCATCAGCTTCTACTATCAGATTGATAGCAGGTCGGTTTGCGACTCAACTCCTACCCACCATGATACCCGCGCCCAGATGTTTGTGACCCTGTAGGCGAAAGGTATTTCCATATGAAAGAAAACTCTCCCTTGGAACTTCTCTTGAATGGCCATGCAAAGTTGTGTGAATCAGGACGGGCGGGTATGCCTTCGCTGAGTGGGGGTCGGAAAAGGGCGTGTGGGATATGAATCTGGGAGAAAAGGGGTTGACCACGTTTTGTGGCATCTGCGTGTAAATTTTCATTGGACGTTATGTGTATGGAGGTATGTATGGGAGCGAGGACTCGCTCTTGGATTGAGGGTGATATGGATGAATGAATGCAGGGTGTGAGTGATAAGGTTCAACTATGGCTGTGAGAATGACTCTCCCTGATTTCCTCCGAGACTCGCCCTTTTCCTTTTTTTTTTGCTCCTGCCACAAGCATCTAGTGATCAGGCAAAAGTAGCCGAGTGCAAGGTTTAACGCTTGACCTTTGATTGGACTTAGACTTAGTTTGGGTATGGTGAATTGCTCGCCAACCCGTGTCTACACACATTTTCTTTCCGCAGAAGAAGAACGACTGAGCCCCATCTAAAGGGGGTTTTACTTTTTAGATTATTGGTCGGGCGTTGGTCCTAAGCCTGAAATTCGAGGTCCTTGTCCAACACATCCCAGACTCTGGTCCAGCACAAAAGGGTTTCCCCCTTGAGCCGGATCTACGCCCCTTGCTTATTGTCACCCACTGCCTAAGAGACAGGGGTGCCGCAAGGGCCGAACAACTTATCCTTCAGTCGTGCAATATCGTGAAGGAGGAACCCTTCACGATATTTCGCTTTCGACACTTGAGTGTCGTACGCAACCCTGAAACCCATGAGAGGTTGCGCGGTTGTGGATAACGCATGAAGCGTCGCCATGGTAGCAGATCAAGTGAGTACACATGACTGAGCGTTATGTTTCCCTTAGCGTCTGCATTCTTTTTATGCGCGAGCCTCGCTCAGACACATTGTTTTTTTTTTTAGTTACGGGTCAGGGCGAATGGAAAAGGGACTAGGTTTTTTTTGTTTGTTTAAGGTGGTTTTCTGCGTATCACGTGGTTGAGTTAGGATGTCCTAGTCGACCGACGCCGAATACGCCCCAGCGTGACGGTTCGTGTACGGGTCCGAGTTAGGCGTGGACTGTGCGTACCCCCTATGCTACAGCAGACGAGAAACGCCCTCGGTTGGGCCACCTCCGCGATTGCAAGTAAAAGCTTTCGCGTGTGGTTCAGTAGCTCGGCGGGGATACGCCCACCCAAGGGATGGTGACAGCTCCCGCGGGTGGAGGTAAGTTGTACCTCGCGAGACCCTGTCCTGTCGTAGGGACTCGATGGAGGTATAGCTGGCGCACTCGGCCGGAGCGGCTCCGCCGCTTCCCTTTTCGTGAAGCGACTTGGGAATTCTGCCAATCTTGCGTGGTTCCATTAGCGGGGACCGTGCGCTCGACAACGCACACACACACACACACACACACACACACACACACACACACACACACACACACACACACACACACACATACACACAACACACAGCCAGCCTGGGTCGCTACCGGATGTCCAAGAATCCCTGCTGATGCATCTGAAAGGCATTTCACGATGCATACCCCAAATTCGGATTTTAGGTTCAAAGGTCCCCAAGTCGAAAGAGGCCAGGTCGGCCAGATTCAAAAGGGTTAAGTCGGGTACCCAGAGGTCAAGTCCAACCGGTACCCAGTCAAAAGTCACATCCCAAAGGCAAAAGTCACATCCCAGAGGGCCAGCGCTCCAACCAGTGTGTCGCCAAACTTGCACACCGACCATGAGGAGGAACACTTTGCTCCTCCAGGAGATATAGCGGCCTGCTTGCCTCTTGGCGAGTGACTTCCTAGGCCACGTGGCCTCCAAGCAACCGGTACGTCCTCCCTTTCGGAGGGAAACATCATTGCAGACTCTCATATTGCCCGTACAGGCCCTAGACTCAGACTGGTTGGACTGGTACCCGCCTAGACCTAGCCTACAACTACTGGGCCTCTAAAAATGATAACTTTTGTCTTCTTCTGCTCGGTCTCAAGTACCCGGCACATCTGCCTCTACTTGGTGTGGTACCGGCCTACCTGCTACTTGAGTGTTTTCCGGTGCTCTAAGTGTCACGGACCTCTTTCCCTGCCACTTGAGTGTTTTCCCTGCTGCAACCCTCAATGTCACAGCCACAGGTAAGTACCAGCCCTTCGGGCCTTCTGAACGAACAAGTGCCCTTGCGGGTCACATACACACTCAAGCCGACAAGCACTCAGACAGGCATGCAGACCAGCAAGCACACACACACACAAACTTCGAAAACTCAGCAACAAGCGGGAAACTCAGCAAGGCATACATTCCATGAGCAGAACTCAGAAATCAGCTGTGTGTCTCAGTCCGTGTTTGGCAGGTCATTACATTATAGATTTTATCCGCAACAGCCCCAATTCCACCCAAATGAATAGATTCAGAATCAAAGCAATCTTTGTCCTATTGCAGACAACAAGAGCATTTGAGATGAGACAGTCCAACATATTAAAGCAATTTTATAATTAGACGGTTTATTGGTTGTCCTTGGGGTAGCGCTTCCATTTGTTCTTGCAGCTCCCCACTTACTGTGCCTCTTACGCACAAGGCTGCCCACGTTGATTGTGGTTGAGCGGCAGCTGCCCACATCCCCGTGTGCCTTCACGGCCCACTTGCACGTTATTTCAGGAGGCAGAGTAAAAGGGGAGGTATGCTCCTGTGCATTTCTCTTCAGGCCTTCATACTCCTGTTCATTTCACTTCAGATCTTCAGCTTATACTTGGTCTTTGTGTTCGCCCTTCATCTTCATACTTCCGTTCATTACATTTCTGATCTTCATATCGTTTGTTCTCTTAATGATGCTCATTTGTATGTATTTGTTAGTAGCACAAAGGGAGTGGAAGGGAACATGTTGGGTTGAGGAGCAGTTAATACCTATGGCAAGTGGCCACCCCTACAGACCCCAGGACTGGTTCGCGTGTGGACTATGGAAGCACCACATCCAATTCTCACAGTCACAGTTGCTGCATCGAATGGCGCGGCGCATACAGATGTCACAGGCTACGTGGCTCCTACATGCTAGGAACACAGGGGTACGTCGACCACAATTATAGAGGCATTGCCGTTCCAGCCCCTGTCTATAAATTGGACATGACATGTCAGGGTGCCGCACATGAGTACAGTACTGACTGTCGTCGTACTTATGGAAGCAGTGTGTGTGTGTGCTATTGTGTGTGTGTGTGTGTGTGTGTGTGTGTGTGTGTGTGTGTGTGTGTGTGTGTGTGTGTGTGTGCGTTGCCATATTCACTCTAAACTGAGAAAAAGCATGACTGTGCCAGACTGTTTCGTCGGACTTTCACCGAGTCATCATGTGTGCAAGCGTGTTTCCGAGTCATCACGTGTGAAAGTGTGTGTCGTACGCATACATGCTTACTCTGTTATTGTCAGGGGCTTGAATTGGACAGTCTGCTAAGGTTGCATAATTGGTGCGAGTGAAGTCAACCCCTTTTCTCAAAAGGTATCGCTAACTCTGGGTAAGGAGGCGGTGGGTTCGTATCCATCAGCCAAATGCACCCGGCACAGACTGTTGAGCTTCCACCTTCTGATGTCTACGCGGAAGTTCAATGAAAGGGTCTGTCACAGTCGCCCTTTTTTAGTGGGGTATTTACTATTTAGTGAATGCACTACACACACACACACACACACACACACACACACACACACACACACACACACACACACACACACACACACACACAGGTGGTGAGATCTGGCAGAAGCATGTCTGACAATTAACAGTATATAAGTACCAGACTTCCCAAAACACACCTACTAAGCCTTCACATTGAATCACTGCACTGCAGTGGCGCATCGATAGATTACAGTACCGCCCTAGATAGCCCCGCATCAAAAGGCAAAGCAACATCATAGTTATGCTAGTTCTCATGGAAACAAAGAAACGAAAAACAAGGGTGGAGGAAAGCAAGAAAACAAATGCCAACCTACAGGCCGCAAAGCATTTTGTTTGTTGAAGGAAAAAAGCGGACAAAGAAGAACACAGAAGAACATAAAAATTGATAAAAGGAGGTAGAAGGGAAAGAAAAAAACTGAGTTATGAAAAGAGAATGCAAGTGCACCCTGCAAATGAGTCATGGTTCGGGGGGAGACCGGCCGAAGCAAACCGCCCCTTGTGTAAACGACTAGAACTGCAAGGGTTGCTGTATCTGACTCTTATCTGATCTACTCTTTCTTTTCTTCTTCAACTGTTTCTCATGTACTTTTGGCTTGCCGGTGATGAGCAACTGGACTGATGCCCCCCAGAATAGATGGGGCTTTGTTTGGAGAACTTCGGACCCAAAAAAAAAAAAAAAAAAAAAAAAGAGAATGAAGAAGAGAAAACCAGCCGACACAAAGCAGAGTATAGAATAATTCACAGCAGGAAAGAAAATTACATTTACCTCTGGCATTATCGCGACAGTGGCTGTGGACGTATGAACGCGCCCTTGGGACTCGGTCGCTGGCACTCTCTGGACCCTGTGTACGCCTGATTCATACTTTAACCTACTATACACCCTCTCCCCCTTGATCTCTACAACGCACTCCTTGTAGCCACCAGCCTCTGCCTGGAGCAATGTGACCAGATCACACGGAAAACCGGACGGACCACAAAGCACACGTGACACTCAACTCGGATGCACCACAAAGCACAAGTTGGCCCTGGATTAGATAGAAAACCAGGTGGACCACAAAGCACAAGTATGACCACGCATTAGAGGGCATGGAGTGATGTGCGGTAAAGATAGTCCAAAAGCACTGTGAAACGCACGAAACATGGAAAAAATTCAACAATTTCAAAAAATTCAAACGTGAGACACACACTGGACCTCTTCTCCAGCTCATATTGGTGCTGTCATTTAATGGGATGCTGGGCTGGTTTTCCAGCATGTGGGGCTGCCCACTGCTAGATTTGAAGCAATTTTTCTTTAATGTAAAAAAAGAAGACCACAGAGTGAATACTGGCAAGTTGTCATAGAACAAGGGACTCTACACCAGATTTGATGTCACGCCTAGATGCAATGACTCCTGCTCTATTCTTTTTCTCATAAATCGTGACGGCCTTGAGATATCGTCATTCGGCTGACCGCCACTATTTCCTGGATCTACTTTCATCATCTGGATTCGAACACAGGTCTGTATTTCAACAGTTCATGGGTATACCAACTGAGCTAGGCTCGTGGGTACTCCTGCTTTATTCTACTTGTGCAAAAGTTGTGGTTTTCTGACTCTTCCAACAACTTTGTGATTCATTTGGTTGTTCTCGACGGACGAACAATGCAGGGAAAGACCAGAATGGGGGAACCGCCTGGCAGAAGTAAGATAAGATGGGCCATGCCCCATGGCCATGGCTTTATGGCCCATGGCCATGGCTTTATCCCATGCAGATCGTAGGGAGGACCAACCATGGGTTTCTTTTTTTCTTTTGGTTTGTTTCTGGGCGACAGCCTTGAGATATGATCATTGAGCTGACTGGGCCCACGTTATTCTGTTCATCTGGTTAACATCTGGATTCAAACTCAAGTCCGTATTTCAACACCTCATAGGTGTACTAAGTACTACGAACTGAGCTAGGCCAGTTGGTCCAGCCATGGATTTTCTGATGACAGGACATGAGATATGACCAAATGAGCGGATATCGACCAGCCTCCACTTATCCTCATTGTCATAGATGACCAGATGATCAGAATGAACAGATGACCATACAGTAGAAATAGGGTCCAGATAGCCAGATGACCAGACAGCCGGATGGCCACATAGCAACATAGCCACGTAGCCAGATGAAAGGGAAGAGGATCCAGATAGCCAGATAGCCAGATAGCCACCGAGCAGCCCGATGACAGGAAAGACGACCCACATAGCCAGATGATCAGATAGCTAGAGACCCAGATAGCCAGACGGCTAGACAGTCAGATAGCCAGATGGCCAGATGACAGGAAAGAGGATCAAGATAGCTAAATAGTGGTAGCAGAAAGACAATCCAGATGACCAGACACAACTGTCCTCCACTGATCCTCCCTCCTGTCCTCCTCCTACGACTACTCTTTCCACAAGGACAACAACAAAGACCCTTCATTCTTCTTCTGGTCTTTGTCCATGTTGGCATGTTGTCATTACCCATTGCCCTATTTCGCCTCCTCCATCCCTTTTCTCCTCTTCCTAACTCTTCAGTTATTGTAAATGCAGCAAGATCAGAGGTTAGAGCAATATTCTAAAAGAAAAAGAAAAAAATTACAATCCTTAATATGAGGAACATTTGCGTGGACTCTGCACACAAATGAGAGGAATTGGGAAAGATTGGGAAACTGGAAAACACTCCTAAATCAAATACATATTAGTATGACATTACATATTACATTATTGACTTATTATGTACACAAAAACTTCGGCAACTATCACAATGAATAGTGAACTGAGGTGTTGCAACCACGACACCCTTTCAGCCCCCTCCCCCTCTGTCTTCCCCCCCCCCCCCCCCCCCCCCCCCCCCCAAAAAAAAAAAAAAAAAAAAAAAAACGCCAACCCAGTCAATATGAGCCAAGGATAGGGCAAATTAGGAAACCTTCACAGCGACTTGCCTGTGAACATGAGACAATGTTAGCCTTCCACCTTTGCCGCTCTGCATACTTCATGTACATCCGGATCTGCAAGAGAAACAAAAAAGGAAAGATAGGAATTTGAAAATATGACTGGCTTGTAAATATATCGTCAAACAGAGCTACCCGGTAAACCATGGGCAGAGAGGGAGAAGAGGACAGGGGCTGTGACAAACTGTTTTGTCGGAGTTTCACCGACTCATATATCGTCAAACAGAGCAGCCCGGTAAACCTTAGGCAGAGGGGGAGAAGAGGACAACAAACGAGGAGCTGTGACAAACTGTTTCGTCGGAGTTTCGCCGACTAAAAGACTGGCTGGGTGAATGGTAGGTACCCTTTCCCACACCCCGAAGATCAACAATCTCAAGTGCAATAAGCTCAATGACATTCAAGTTGATTCAACACATTGAGCCAATCATGAATCGAAACAGCAAACGATGACGCACATAAGAGCAAAGAAAATGAGCCAGAAAACAGAGAAGAACGCTTTCTTTTTTTTTTTTGGTTTCTTTTCTTCCCAGGAAACTCACACCATTGCATTCAGGAGAAATGATATCCCCCCAGAGGCCTGAAATAGTAATCCATTGAGCAATTTGAATCGAATATTTTCGATCCACGCTGACAAACCCGTCTTTTTTTTTCACTCCATGATGATAAACAGGTCTTTCTTGTGCGCAAGATCAAAAGTGTAAATACTAAATACGCTCCAGTCTCTCTCCACCGAACCGCTTCACTGGGGTCTTCTCCCTCGATTCGCCACCTCACATTACCCTGGCTATGGCGGAATCTTCTCTCCAGTCTCTCCAACGTAGGTCAACCTGAAATTGCTCCTTGGCAGTTCTCTTAGAGGTCCAGCACCGCAACAGGGAAGTCTCGACTAAGGAGTGCCAGTCCCTCAAGGTCTTGGGATCGTCTTCTTCTTCAGTGCGGGCTATGGCCACCAGCAGCCACCAGGTAAGCTTCTTCTACCCCTGGGCCTCTTCTCTCCTTCTCAGGTGTCTTCAGTGCTCCTGCCTATTGTCCCCTGCCCCCTATTCCTACCTCTACTGCCAGCTATGGTGCCCCCTTCCCTACCGCACCCAGCTACAGCTGTGGCTTCCCAAGCACTCTCAATCCCTTTCCTGCCAAAAGCAGGGAAACATGATGCACTAGTCCGGTACCCCCCAACCGACCGCAAGGCGGAATGTGTGGCGACTCGATTACATTGGGGAGATATATCGCTGTGACTGGGGCATTGGGCCCAAGCAGCTGGCTCGGTGGCCATGGCACCCAGTAGCCCCTCAACTCATCTGCAAAATTTGTCTGGACAGTCGAACGTGTGTGCAATCCATAGCCACACTCAACTTCTGGAGAATTATTTGAGTTTGCGTCGGACTTCGCCTGACTAATGACACCCCCAGGCCCGAGGTGCCCAAAACCAGAGGCCTGGCTGGCCCAGAGAGCCTACCATTTCTTGGTCCTATCACACTCAGAAGCGACCTTCCCTGTGCCTCTGTGGACCGATCCCGACGACCTCGCGACTGACTTGGGGCCTATTGAATGCTCTGGTTTTCCAACCCTCTTTTCCCGCCCAAGACCCAAGAGTTCAAATTCTGTAGAGTGTAGGGTAGGTCCAACTCCATAGAGGCCTGAACTCATCTAGAAACAACGTTGTCTGGACAGTCAGATGTGTGTGCAATCCGTAGCCAAAAGTAACTTAGGAAAGAACATGTGTGTGCAATACGTAGCCAAAAGTAACTTAGGAAAGAACACGTACATCGAAAGCTTTCACTATACTAATCCATAGACATCTTGATGCATGCCTATTAGTAGATAGGCGATCCGCAGAACCAGGGAGTCACCGACATGAAGAAAGACACAAATACAATGTGCAGCGGAAGGCTGAAAATGAACGATCTGATGCATCAGACTCATGACTCAGAACATGCAGACATAACCAGTATGTCGAGAAGCAATGTTACATGCTGAAAGCCTACACAC